TTTTTTTTTTTTTTTTTGGCATCCAAGTTCACGGACTTCCTGAAGTCATCCACACACCTGTTGGGCGTGGATTCAGGACCCTGGGACAGTTTGAGACCTGTTACAGCTCACCCCAAGCACCGGGTAGACAACAGGCACTCAGGACAGAGAAGTAGTTAAACAACTAGAGAGCTAGCTGGTTACCTAGCTAAACCAACCCAGAGAGCTAACTAGCTAAGCTAGCTGCAATTAGCTAGCTCAACTAGCCAGAGAGTTAGCTGCTAAGTGGCTTAGCTAGTTAACTGTGAAACCAGTTAGCTCCTTAGCCAGCTACTCAGCTACTCAGCTAGTTGGCTGGCTAGCCAGTTGCTTAGTTGGGCAGCAGCAGGCCTGCTTTAAACTCCCTGACAGCTTGTGCTTCTCAAGCAGAGCGGGTGTGGCCACCACAAGCTGCCTGGCTCCCAGGTGCCAACCTCTTAACGGTGGGAGGGTGGGTGGCCAGCCAGCCGGGAGCGGAGCAACCGGTTTGCTGGGTGCTCCAGGGAGCTCATGGCTCTCCGAGGGTGGGGCGGCCGGACCACATTCCCCGGGAAGGTATCTCATGGCTGCTGGCGCCCTGGCCCCCACTCCTGGCTGGCGGACGAACCCACTCCCCACGCCACCCTCCCACCCCAGCCCCATCCTGCCAGCCACACCTTGTTGCCCAGGTGACACTTCGACAGGAACCTGAGCTGGCTGCCAAGGCCAGGGGGCAAAGGGCAGAGGCTGGTGCACCCAGAGAGGATGGGGGACATCGGAGCACAGCTGGGGAAACTGGTTGGAGGAGTCTGGAGTGGCTGTTCCAGCACTGGGGACTCTGCAGGCAGACCCGCGGGGCTCAACTCCCACCTCCACCTCTTCTCAGCCCCGAGACTCTCCCCAGTCTTGGTTTCCTCCTAGAGAAACCGGGATGACACTCCCCGCTTCATTACAGAGCTGTGGGGATTAAGGGAGATAATGAATAAACACTAGCCTGCCCAAGGCGGGGCCCATACAGGCACCCTAACCATGGGGCCTGAGACGCTGTTACCCATCCTGCCTGGGAGCTGAGAGCTCACTCAGCCTGAGTTTCTAGCTGTGTGACTTTACACCAGGGATGTGCCCTCTCCGAGCCTCAGTCTCCAGCCCTGGAAAATGGGGCTTTTCACCCCACCACCTATAAGGATTCTAAAAGCGAAGGCCCACAATGCATCTCAACGCATCTCCCAGTGTCCCACAGAGTGGAGAGCATCGCAAGTGCTCAATGAACAGGTGCCCTTCCTGCCCAAGCATCCCAGTAAAGGACAGCAACCCTGAGTGACTCATGGCCAAGTAGCTTATTAGAGGAGGCAGAAGCTGGGTTTCTGGAGCCCCGAAGGCCCCACTTTCCACTGGGAAACACTATCTTCCCATCACCAGTGGCCAGTGAACAAATATGTATTAAGCAGGGGACTGTGCTTAACAAGCAGGGCACAGCTTGCATCCTTCTAACATCTTCTAGCTGGGTGGCTTCAGCAGCCACCTTAGCCTTTCTGAGTCTCATTTTCTCATCAAATGGGGACAGGAATAGCGCTCCCACATAGAGATGCTGGGAGCCCTCCATAAGCTCATGTTGCACGTACAGAGCTCAGCATGGGCCCTGGAACACCAACTGTGCACATAATACATTAGCTGCTAACTGCTGCTGGGCCAGTGGCTTCTCCTCTCCGAGCTGTGGGGAAAGGAGGGGAGAATCCCTGCCTCACATCCTTATATAGAGGAGGGTCAGCAAGATCATGTTAGATAGAAGCTTAGAACAGCATCCAATGAGAAATCAGACCCTCACTAAGTGCTAATGATTATTATTAAGGCCCAATTTGCTTCCCATCTGGGCTTCTAGAATCTTCTATTTGTCAAGCCCCAGTTCTCTGGTTCCTGGGCCACAGCCTTAGCTCAGGCCTCACCATTTCCCCCCCTGAACTTTCCAACTATCTTTCTACTGCAGTAGATAGGACATGGGGTCTGGAGTCAGACGACCTGGAATCAAACCCTAGCTCAGCCTGTTCCCAGCTCTGGGACCTTGTCCAAGTCCTGGCCCCTTTTGGAGGTTCAGTTCTCCCACCTGGAGAATGGGGATGATAGCAGATACCTTACAAGGTTTCTGTGAGGGTTCAGTGTATTTGTTAAGAGGCAAAAGGTGGCCCTGACTGGTGTGGTTCAGTGGTTAGAATGCTGGCCTGTGCACCAAAGGGTTGCGGGTTTGATTCCCAGTCAAGGGCAAGTACCTAGGTTGCAGGTTTGATCCCAGGCCCGGGTTGGGGCATGTATGGGAGGCAACCAATCGATGTGTCTCTCTCACATCAATGTTCCTCTCTCTCTCTGTCTCTCTCTCTCCTTCCGCCCCTCCACTCTATCTAAAATCAAAGGAAAAATATCCTCAGGTAAGGATTAACCAAAAAAAAAAAAAAAAAAAA